GCTATCACCGAACCATGCTAGCATATATGTGGCAAATTTTTGGCTGCACTTAGAAATGAAGAATTTCAGTACACCAACGAAAATCAGCATCAATTGTAAAGGAGTGAGAATTGAAAATTAATTATATTAAAATGACCACGATTGTAATTGACTTAATAATAACGAATATTTAATTACAACAGAATGTGACAAGATTATTAAATTAATCTCTATGATATTTTAAGGGAAAAAGGACGTACAATATACAACTTTGTTTAATAAATATATATATTCTCTTAAGACGGAAAAGTATAAAATGTTGTAACAAACGTTTTTGAATAATTATGTATAATACATAATACATATCATTATACAAAATTTTTGCGTATTCCTTTATTCACTATAATATAGTTTCTATTGTTGAAAAAAGGTATTATTCAGGCTTATGTGTCGAGTTTTGAGAAAAGAGCTGTTACAAACAAAATTTGTGATCACTTTAATATTTATGAAAAATAGCAATACACATACATGCACACAAGTTCACATTTAATTTTTTTACGATTTACTATTCAACGTTATGTTCGTCTTTTTACATTGCAAAATTTTGATTCATAAAAGGGATGATTAAATTAAAAGTCAATATAATAACAAAAATGATTATATTAATATGATATAAAATAATTAAGATAATTACTAAAATCCACTAGTCATGTGCAAAATGTAGTGATAGCTTGACGGAAAAAAATATTTATTTGTATTCCATTTTCTTTATATCTTCAGTTTTATATACTATAAAATTATAAATTTATTAATATCTATTAATATTTATTAATTAATATTTATTATATTTATTAATATTTATTACTATATTACTTAAAAAAAATTGATCAAATTAATATAGATCATATCACAGAATTATATTCCGGCATAACTCTCTTAAACAGATGTTCGTGATAAATATTAGTAAATCAAATCAAGCTTTTAAGTCTAATTATATATATATATATATATATATATATATAATTAGACTTAAAAGCTTGATTTGATTTATATATACATATATATTTAATAAGAAAAATATTTTTATATTTTACTTGATCAATTAAAATTATATGATCATACGGTACAATAAAATATCATTTACACAATTATATTATCATATAAAGCAATAATATGATCCCAAATAACGAGTACTCGAACGAGATACTTTATAAAGTAAACTGCATTAAAGTAATATATGCAGTAATAAAATATATTTTATATTTATCGTATATGATATTACGCATTTGTGCTAATATGATAATACGTGTTCTAATACATATCTTTTAAAGCTATGATATCAAATATTATTTGAAACATGTTTGCAAATAAGGAAAGAAATGATTTAAGATATTGAAAATATTTCTTAAATTATGTATAAACATATATATAGAATCAAGTATCTTTGATTAAAGCATCAAAACGTCTAAACAGTAAAACATACACAGAGTCATGGCATTGCGGTAATGTTATTATATCATATACAAAAATGAATGATATAATCTCTAAAAACTCACCTTTAAAAAAAGGTAAAAAAAGGCGACCAGTTAAGGACACGCCATTAACAAAAATTATTTATTGCAAACCCATGTAGAATCCTATCCTATTGCAAACTCATGTAGAATCCTATGAAAACTTAATCATTGCAAACCCATGTAGAATCCTAGGCAAAATTAACCATTGCAAACCTATGTAGAATCGTACCCATTGCAAACCTATGTGGAATCCTATGAAAAATTAACCATTGCAAACCCATGTAGAATCCTATGAAAAATTAACCATTGCAAACCCATGTAGAATTGTATTAAAAATTATCCATTGCAAACTTATGTAGAATCCTACATTGCAAACCCATGTACAATAGAATTGTATGAAAAATTATCGATTATAAACCCATGTACAATCGTAACAAAAGTAATGAAATAAAAAAAAAATTGCGACAAGTGAAAGTAGAAACTTGTACCAGTGGAAAATTAAAGTTGCAGACATATATATAGTCGTATAATGAATCAGTAAAAATTTAAATTTGCAAATGTAGAATCGTACTATAAAAAAACTTATCTTTTAAAAAAAAAGATAAACAAGATGCCAAGTCCATTAATATAAAATAAAAAGAAATAAAAAAATTGTAGTTAAAAAAACTGGGCGCGCTGCTAAGTTTCAAAATTACAATGCACCTTAAAGTAACATTAATTAATTTAAACACAAAACATATTTTAACTGCAATAAGTTTAAAAATAACAATTTAATTTTTATATCATTAGAATATTATTTAGCAGCGCGCCCAGTTTTTTTAACTACAATTTTTTTATTTTTTTTTATTTTATATTAATGGACTTGGCATTTTGTTTATCTTTTTTTTTTAAAAGATAAGTTTTTTTATAGTACGATTCTACATTTGCAAATTTAAATTTTTACTGATTCATTATACGACTATATATATGTCTGCAACTTTAATTTTCCACTGGTACAAGTTTCTACTTTCACTTGTCGCAATTTTTTTTTATTTCATTACTTTTGTTACGATTGTACATGGGTTTATAATCGATAATTTTTCATACAATTCTATTGTACATGGGTTTGCAATGTAGGATTCTACATAAGTTTGCAATGGATAATTTTTAATACAATTCTACATGGGTTTGCAATGGTTAATTTTTCATAGGATTCTACATGGGTTTGCAATGGTTAATTTTTCATAGGATTCCACATAGGTTTGCAATGGGTACGATTCTACATGGGTTTGCAATGGTTAATTTTGCCTAGGATTCTACATGGGTTTGCAATGATTAAGTTTTCATAGGATTCTACATGAGTTTGCAATAGGATAGGATTCTACATGGGTTTGCAATAAATAATTTTTGTTAATGGCGTGTCCTTAACTGGTCGCCTTTTTTTACCTTTTTTTAAAGGTGAGTTTTTAGATTCTATATACTTGAAAGGTAAAACAAAAGCATATATCGTTATTATATTCCTTTGTTATATATATTTTATGAATTTTACTAACACTTCTAAAATTTTTATAACAAAGAAATATGATAATAATGTATGTTTTACTTTATGTGCTTTAATTCAGTATAATCAGTATAATTTAATGCATAAAAATTTAAAACAATTATTTAAAATAATTAATTTAGAAACAATTTTAAAATATTTGCTGAATAAGGCTAGATTGTAATAATTACATGTAATAAGTCATTTTATATCTGTTTTGTATAATAGATCTGGATTTAATATAAAAATGAAAAATTTTCAATTGGAAGCTGGCCAGTCGCGTTACTATAAGCCTCTTCATATGGTATCGAGAAGGCAACAAAGATTAAGATTAGCTCGTCGAAAACAAATAATAAAAAAAACAAAATCACTTTTGATAGAGAATGATTGTTCTGAAAATATCTATGCTAAAAATAAAGTTCAACATTTTAATGACTGCAACGTAAATCATCTTGTACAAGACACTCATTTTAATTCAATTGTGCAACTTTCTACAAAGGAACAATCTTCTCATTTATATACAGACAATATAGACGGGGTTAAAGTTAGAAATACTTGTAATACGGTAATATTTCAGAAGAATTTAGCAGCTGTTCTAGTTGACGCAAATCATGTTCTCGGCAATCGTATTTTAAAACTTCTAAGAACTCATGATTGCTTTACATTTTTACCTGCAGATATTAGATCATTACTTTTGACGCCACGGCACTCCTCAATTTTATATAAAGTTGAGCCAGGAGAATATTTACATATTGGGCTAAAAAAATGTTTAGCCCAAATTCTTGAAGAAACACATTTTTTATCAATTCCCGAAGTTCTCGAAATTGACATTAGTACGGATGGAGCACAATTATATAGAAATGGAAAACATGATATTTGGCCAATTCAATGCAGAATTGTTAATATTCCAAAATCTATTCCAAAAACTATAGGAGTGTATAAAGGTTCACAAAAACCTAAGAGTGCAGAAGAGTTTTTCCAATATTGTAACTCAGATTTTCATGAAATTTTTAATGAAGGTGGTATCATTTTTAAAGATAAAAAGTTCTCAATAAAACTGCGATGTTTTATCGGAGATGCACCAGCTAGAGCATTTATTTTAGGACATAAGAGTCACCGTTCTTTTAATCCATGCTCAAAATGTACAATTAACGGATTTAGTATTGGAAGATGTACGGTATTGAGAGGAATTAAGCATAGGCAACGTATACATGAAGAGTATAGACAACAAATTGATGAGGAACATCATAAATGTTCAAGTCCATTATCTCATTTACCTTTTGATAAAGATGTTGTATTTGAATATATGCATATGTGTTGCCTAGGAGTTATGAAAAAATTAATCGTGACATGGATACGTGGGGATTGTACAAAAAACGTCAAATTATCGGGAATCCAAATTAAAATTATTTCAAATCGATTAAAGATTCTCTCAAAACACTGTCCACGAGAATTTGCACGCCGCGTTGAATCACTTAACGACTATGATCAATTTAAAGCCACTCAATGGTGTCAAATTATGTTATATATTGGAATAGTATGCTTTAAAGAAGTTGTTAAGGATTACATATATGATCATTTCCCAGCAAACACAAAATATAACTGCAATATAACATAAAAGTAACCTGTGATATAACAGATGTTATATCTTAGTTACATTGAGGCTATGTATCTCATTATATATCTACAATATAACTATGTAATATAATTGTAACATTTTTTTGTTATTTACTCGTTACAATAAAGTAACAGCAACATAACATAAATATAATACATTATATAACAGATGTTATATCGAAGTTATATAGATGTTATATAATATGTTATATGACATTTACATAGATATTATAAAATATGTAATATAACGTCTACATAACTATTATATTGACATTACGTATTTTGAATTACGCGGGATTTATTTTAACAGTATAGCAACGCCATTATTGCTATATACATACATATAATTCCGTTTCCGATCTGTGCGACATGGGTAATCTGAGTGATATGGCGACATGAAGTGATTTTTCTTATCCGAGGTAATCCTTTTTTTCTTAATTAAATATATATGTGTTAAACATTGCATTAAATCAGAAAAAAATATTTTATCTAAATATATATACAATATTAAGTTAACATTTTTCATAATTTATTATCATAAAGTTATTCTGCCTACAAATTCGAGGTTATTGTTGATTGTGAAAATATGCATATAAAAGTATTTGAGTTTTAAATCTTTTGGCATTCCTTTAATATTCGCTCGCTATATATATATATTTTCATAACGATAAAGATGATAACCTCGCAAATTATTAGGTATATATATAAATTGTATAATAATTAATTATAAATCATCAAAAGATACTTATATATATTAACAAATTGTACAACATACACATATATATATATATATATATATATATACATATATATATGCTATATTATAAAAATATTATCATAACTTTAATTTACATATTTTTTAATCCGTCACAGGTTGTACACGAAATACATATTGGATCCAAAAATTGTCTCGCCTTTCCGCCAGCCAAACAAATATTTGTCGTACGTATGCGTATACGTGCTTTGCAGTATATATATATATGGAACAGTGGAAAAATTATTAAGTCGTCAATGAAGGTATATATATATATATATATTACTTTGATAGTAATTTAAGCAGGTAATATTTACATCAATATTTATCTATTTGTTATCCTTTTCTGTGAAAATGTATTATATTATTTTATTTTTTATATATGGACCCAGCAAATATGTAAGTAATCAAGCATGTTACATGTAACGTATATGTTATAGTTGTAATTTCCCATTCATAAATGTAACATTTTTAATATAACATATATATTACATTGTAGTTATATTGTAATTATATACCAAATAGCACATTCATGTATCGATAAGTCAGTGCTATCTGGGATATAATGACAATATACCTACAATGTATAATATATGTTATATTAAAAATGTTACATTTATGAGTGGGAAATTACAACTAACATATACGTTACATGTAACATATGCTTCATTACTTACATATATACATAACATTTTATATATATACCGTGTTTGCTGGGCGAGGAATTGTTAGAAGATATTTATTAATTAACATTTAACTAGACAGCTTGATATATTTCTCAAAAAGAATTAAAGTCATTAAATTTTCATGTTAATATATATTATATTGTCATTTTTTAATTAATGCTAATAAATGAATGAATGAATAACATTTTCAGAAAGGTCTCTTTCAATTTGTACGACAACAAATATAAGCTCGCTATTTTAAACACATCGACACGCATATTTTAGTACTTATATTAATACGAAATATTATTAATTCAACATGCCGAAGGACATAAGATTTTTATCTAAAAGACGAAAGAATCAATTAATCAATTGTCAATATAATTTACATAAAAATTTAAATTTATTATAATTAGTCGAATCAAACAAAGCATGTAATAATATTAAAGAAGCAACATTAACTCGTGAAGAATGTAACAATAATATATCTTGTAGAGATAATATATTATCTAACGATTCTAATGAATTTCATGAATTTGAGATAGAACATGATACGAATAACAAAAAAGAATGTAACATTGAATTAAAGGATAATACACCTACAACAAATATCTCCTATTGTGATAATGAGAATAATTTATGGAAGGATTTACAAATGTTAATTATTAATTGTAATATTCCACATAGCTGTGCAAACGAATTACTTTGTATTCTTATAACACATGGTCATGTGGAATTACCTTATGATGTCAGATGTCTACTTAGAACGCCACGAAATACATTTATGCATATTAAATCTATGGGCAACGGTCGTTACTTTCATTTTGGTATTTTGTCTTCTCTTGAGCGATCAATACAGATGTATTCTACATTTATAAAAACAAATGAAATTACATTAAATATAAATACAGATGGTTTACCACTTTGTAAAAGTTCTGGAAGCCAATTTTGGCCTATTATGGGATCAATAGAAGGAATAGATATTTACACATCACCATTCATAATCGGTGTGTACCATGGCATGTGCAAGCCCAATGATGCAAACGAATTTTTAACCGATTTTATCAATGACTTTATTTCTCTCTCACAAAATGGAATAACTGTTTTGAACAATAAATATACTGTTGCTATTGGTGCAATACTATGCGATGCCCCAGCTAGAGCATTTATTACACGCACCAAAGGCCATACAGGATATTTCTCTTGTCCTAAATGTATACAAGAAGGTGATTTTGTTCATAATAGAGTGGTCTTTCCACAAACTCATAATACGTTGCGTACTGATGATGCATTTAAAAATCGTGCCCAACCTGAACATCATACAGGTGATTCCATATTAGAAAAACTTCATATTGGAATGATATCGCAAATTCCACTGGATTATATGCATCTTGTTTGTTTAGTTGTTACAAAACGATTGTTACAAATTTGGCAAAGAGGAAATAAACATTTTAGATTATCGAATAAGTGTGTAAATTTAATTTCACAGCATTTAATGGTGATTCAGCCATATATTCCAGTGGAATTTGCGAGAAAACCTAGAGATTTACGAGACATTGATAGATGGAAAGCCACTGAATTACGTCAGTTTTTATTGTACACTGGAATTGTAGTCATGAAGTCCACGATATCTTCAATTTATTATAATCACTTTTTATGTCTTAGTGTTGCAATTAGAATATTGATTGATCCACAATTGTGCGTGACATTTAATGACTATGCAAATTCATTATTATTGCACTTTGTATCGAATTACGGGAATATTTATGGTGACCAATATCTCTCATATAATGTGCATAATCTTATTCATCTAGCCAATGATGTAAACATGTTTGGTTCTTTAGACAACTTTAGTTGTTTCAAATATGAGAATAATATGCAAAAAATTAAGAAAAAATTGCGATCAGGAAAACCTTTAGAGGAATTAATAAATCGTACATCTGAAGAATTACAGCTTCCAATTCAACCGTGTCACAAAAAAAATATCCTATTGTTATTTACACACCAAAAAACAATATTTCTCATCTACAATTCAAAACTTTTATAATTGCTATTAACAAAACTGATAATTGTGCTTTACTGCATGATATGTCTGTGATTTTTGTTTTGGAAATTTTTGAAGACTGTGGGATTGTATTTATTCGTGCGCAACAATTTTTGAATCTTAAATCTCTATTTACTAAACCATGTCCTTCGGAAAAACTTGGTATATTCGTGATACCAAATATTACTTGTTTTAATATTATTAAAATTCCAGCGACACAAATACAAAGAAAGTGCGTAAAATTGAAATTTTTTGATGAAAGTAATTCGTTTGTTACAATATCACTTTTACATAGTAATAATTAAAATGCATTTTGAGTAGATTTGATATATTCTACATTCTTTACTTTTGCATAACTTTATAAATTAATTTTAACTAATACGTTATGAATATTTTAATATAAATATTTTACTTTATCTTTCGTCTTTAAGATAAATATTGTATATGCGTTGTAATTTTTGTGGAATTTTTATTTATGGATATCATTAATGTGTAAGTACAATTTTTTAAAATTTAGGCAATTAATATTTTCGCATGAATATATTATAATATATCTATAATATCACAGATATGATATATCTTTGTATGAAATGTTGATCAACATTAACTGTTTATATATATACATATGTATTTACCAACAGATAATGGATGCTTATACCAAACAAGATAAAAAACATTATGCAGTAGTTAAATTTCTGTCGGATGGCACATTTTCTGAAATTCCTACTGCCTGGCTTTGTAAAGAAGGTGAGACAGATCAATGTTGGTGGCCGCTACGAACAGCAAATAGCGCAATTTTAATTACAAATTGTGCAAGTCCAAATACCGACATATGGAGCAGACATGAGATAGAAATAATAAAATATTGTTGTAAGTACTTATACATTCTCTATATAGTCTCTATTTTTGAACCATATAAATATTTTTTCTTAAATTTAAAATTATTTATATAATAAAACAATAAATAAAACTTAATATAATCGTATATTTTACAATAATTGTCAAAATAAATGCGCGTATCAGCGCAGAAAAATGTTTCTATAATTTATTTGTAAATTTATTCAAATAAAGATTAATAGCTAAAAAATATATTTTATTATTTACAGCTTTGTTTATGTAATGAAATTAAATTTTGAAGTTAATATATAATATTTTTAACATTTAAAACATTTAATTCTAAATTGAAATTTAAGAAATACATTTAATTCTAATATTAAATTTGAGAATAAAAAATTTTTTTCAATCACGATGCGACTTATACGAAAAATTGACATTATTTTTCCTTTCTTTTTTACAGCGTCATTAGAATCAGCTCGAAAAAGTGCATCAGATGCATATTATCACACAACTGATGACGAACGATTAGGACGAGGAAAAAGACAATTGCGCCCATATAATCGATACGACAGTAGTGATGAAGAACACGAAGAAACACAATCTCGAAAATTTAATAAAAAACAACGTTATTCATGCAATCGTAGCAATAATAGTGACGAAGAAGAATACGAAGAAACACAATCTCGAGAATTAAACATTAAAGGTACATCTTGTCAAAGTATGTAAAACTTATTGCCACATACTTTTAGAGATTGTTTCATATGTAATCGCATATAAAAAGAAAGATCTTTAAATTGTATTATTACTATTTTTTATGGTACTCATTTTATTAAGTATTAATAGTATTAATAGTGACTTTTAAATATATATTTTTAGGAAAAAGACTTACAGAAAAAAACTGTTCGAGTGCTATTGCATCTACTCTACCATCGTGTCCTGACAACTTTGGTTTAAATAATAATGTACTCTCTACATTTAATACACATAATGTCTCACAAAAAAGTTGTGGAAGCCGTTTTAATGAGACTTTGTCAAAGAAAGGTAACTCGCATATTATTTTTTATTATCTAAATATAATAGTTGTTATAATAATTATTGTAACAAATATTTAGGAATGGAAAGTGTTTCATTGTCTAAACAAAAAGAAAAGGAAGCCGAAGAAGTGGAAAACATACCCATAATATTTGATGGTACGTGTGTGTGTGTGTGTGTGTGTGTGTGTGTGTGTGTGTGTGCACATATGTTATATATGTATATGAGATATTAATAAAATACATTATTTGCAATATTTTAGGATATGTACCGTGTATAGAGGATATAAAAGAGAATGTGAATATAAAACGTAAGTAATTTTTTATTTCTTTTTCATTTACAGAGTATTTTACTCACTTACAAGGGACGAAAATTCAGAAAACCCTCAAAATTTATTAAATTTATTTAAATTTTTCAATACTTATTTATACATAATTTTGTAAAAATTAAAGAGATGCAACTTTTGTAAAAATTTTCTTCAAGGAGTGATTTCACTCCCTCAAATCCGGACAAATAAAAAATATTGTAGTTTTGTGTTACAGATGAACTACTCTATTTATACACAATTCAGAATAAATTCTGAATTTTCAGATTGCTTAATCTCTGGTTAGATATTTCATTCACTTTTATATACATGCATATGTGTCTTATTGCAGAGAATTTACAACAAATGGTACACATGCAAGCAACAGTAAACATTACGTTACAAGATATAAACCAACGTTTAAAAAGAATAGAAAAAGCTATTCTTACAAAATGTGTATCAAATTTTGATGTAAATGATAAATCTCTAAAAACTCACCTTTAAAAAAAGGTAAAAAAAGGCGACCAGTTAAGGGCACGCCATTAACAAAAATTATCCATTGCAAACCCATGTAGAATCCTATCCTATTGCAAACCCATGTAGAATCCTATGAAAAATTAATCATTGCAAACCCATGTAGAATCCTAGGCAAAATTAACCATTGCAAACCCATGTAGAATCGTACCCATTGCAAACCTATGTAGAATCCTATGAAAAATTAACCATTGCAAACTCATGTAGAATCCTATGAAAAATTAACCATTGCAAACCCATGTAGAATTGTATTAAAAATTATCCATTGCAAACTTATGTAGAATCCTACATTGCAAACCCATGTACAATAGAATTGTATGAAAAATTATCGATTATAAACCCATGTACAATCGTAACAAAAGTAATGAAATAAAAAAAAAATTGCGCCAAGTGAAAGTAGAAACTTGTACCAGTGGAAAATTAAAGTTGCAGACATATATAGAGTCGTATAATGAATCAGTAAAAATTTAAATTTGCAAATGTAGAATCGTACCATAAAAAAACTTATCTTTTAAAAAAAAAGATAAACAAGATGCCAAGTCCATGCGCCATGTGAAAAAGAAATAAAAAAATTTTAGTTAAAAAAACTGGGCGCGCTGCTAAGTTTCAAAATTACAATGCACCTTAAAGTAACATTAATTAATTTAAA